AAAAAATTTAAGTATTTTTTATTATAAATAAAATAAATGTTCCTTATATTCATAGATGATGACTCAAGGAATTAAATTTCATTTTCAGATATAGTTTTGTCATCAGATATAGTAAAGAATAACAGGATTTACTTTAGACATAGTAATAAACATAATAGAAATATTTTAAATAAAAGAAAGAGAAGATTGCAGTAATAAAAACGCGTAGAAATATTTATATTTTTTTTTTTAAATGAAAAAGTAGTAATAAACAGGGTAAAAATATTTTTAAATAAAAAGAAAAGATTATAATAATACACGTTGAATTGTTTTAGCCAGTACATGAAAAATGTGTAAATAATTAAATTTGGTAATAAAAAGTGTGGCAAGAAGTTATCCTTAAATTAAATAATACATGAACTACCACATTTATCATACAATACATACATAATTGATACATTACATACATTAAAAAGTTTTAATAATACAATACATACAAAGCTAACCATACAATACATGTTTGCTATATACCCTAGAAATTTTAATGAAAATATTTCACTATTATTATTTTATTTTTAATTTTAATAAAAACACTATACTGACAACCATACATTTTTTATTAAAAAAAAAGAAAAAAAATTTAACTACGAATAACTTTTTTTTATGTGTAGTAAATTTGTGTTGCCTTTGATTACTTTTTGATAACTTTTGAAACGGCTATTTGAAAAAAATTAATATTTTAAATTTTAAGTTAGGATCAGCTCAATGTTTAATAAATTTTTAAATGTTTATTCCTGTCTTATAAATAATGTTCATTAAATAACAATATTTCTACTATATCGAGGAATGATAAGTAAAATTATGTTAAATTTTGTTGATAGATTATTTCTTACAATAGAGGTACAGTATATATTTATTCAAGAAAAGTTTTAATAATTCTGAATATTTTTGATTTAGATAATGTGGGGTTCTTTATAGCAAGAATTAATATTTATTTCGCGAAGCATATGCCAATATTAGTTGAAATGAAAAAAAAAAGAGGTAAAGAATTTTTCTTCAAATGCTGAGTCAGGGATAAAGCTCCGAACGGGTCGGTTCGGTTCGGTTTTTTTGCGGTTCGGGTAGAACCGAAAACCGAAATGGAACCGAACCGGAACCGTCCGGTTCGGTTCGGTTCTATCCGAAATTAAGAAAAATGCGAAAAAATGAATACACGACCATCCAGTGATCGTACAAGGACGAGCCATAGCTCGTTGGAATCCTCTCATCGAGACGCGTCGAATGGTGGTAAAATCAAGTCTCTAGCATCGATAGATCACGAGATAGAACATGGTGAGTGTTTCTTAAAAAATTTGTATTAGAAAACGATCCATTGATGCTAGAGACATGAATTTACCACCATTCGACGCATCTCAACGAGACGAATCTAATGAGCTATAATTCGTCTTTTTGCAATCACTGGATGGTCGTGTATTCGTTTTTTCGCATTTTTTTTAAATTTTCGAACGTCAAAAATTAAAATTCCGATACAAGCGATTAAACGCCATCTATTGATCACACAAAGACGAATTTTAGCTCATTGGATTCGTCTCACTGAGACGAGTCGAATGGTGGTAAAATCAAGTCTCTAGCATCGATAGATCGTGAGATAGCCCATGGTGAGTGTTTCTTAAACAATTCGCATTAGAAAACGATCTATCGATGCTAGTGACATCATTTTACCACCATTCGACTCGTCTCAGTGAGACGAATCCAATGAGCTAAAATTCGTCTTTGTGTGATCAATAGATGGCGTTTAATCGCTTGTATCGGAATTTTAATTTTTGACGTTCGAAAATTTAAAAAAAATGCGAAAAAACGAATACACGACCATCCAGTGATTGCAAAAAGACGAATTATAGCTCATTAGATTCGTCTCGTCGAGATGCGTCGAATGGTGGTAAATTCATGTCTCTAGCATCAATGGATCGTTTTCTAATGCAAATTTTTTAAGAAACACTCACCATGTGCTATCTCGTGATCTATCGATGCTAGAGACTTGAATTTACCACCATTCGACGCGTCTCGATGAGAGGATTCCAACGAGCTATGGCTCGTCCTTGTACGATCACTGGATAGTCGTATATTCGTTTTTTCGCATTTTTTCTTAATTTCGGATAGAACCGAACCGAACCGGACGGTTCCAAGTCCAAAACCGAACCGAGAACCGAACCGAATTTTTTGCCGGTTCCGGATCGGTTCCCGGTTCAAACCGGAACTGTTCGGAGCTTTAGTCAGGGACGATGTTTCTATGCAATTGCATAATTTTGCATTAAACACATAAATTATGCAACAACACATAATTTAGGTTCATTGCATCATAAAATTGCATAATTCGAACCTCCCTATATTAGAGCGCATAATTCCGCAGTAAATTGATTTTAATTTGTTGCTGATCAGGATTCAGGAGTTGATAAAATGACCGATACACTGATTATCAACGTTTACCATCTTTTTTTTCTTTTACGATTCCAAAAAAATGAAAAATCGCGTCAGTTCATATTAGATGTAGTGAATATGAAGACGTTTTTCGAGTTGATGATAATATTCTCTTTTGCAATTATTGCAATGTTTCTGTAGAATGGAAGCGCAAATCTGTTGTAGACAATCATTGTAATAGTCAAAAACATATTTCTAATATAAAAAGCTGTGAAGAAAAAAGTAATAAAACACAGCAGCTTACCCTCTCCTCTACTCAGGCAGCTGATGAGTCAAAAAAACAACTTATAGAAGACCTTATAGAAGCGTTTGCAATAGTCAATTCTTTACTTCCATTTTTAAAAAAACATATTAAAAACGGAGGTTCTATCCTTAAAGCGCCAACCCTTAGACAAATTTATCTACCTGATGTATTTGACAGGCATTACCAATCTCTTAGGTTATTTTTTGATTCAAAACCGGTGGCTATAATTATGGATGAAACCACTGATGATTGTGCATGAAGCGTTGTAAACACACTGTTTTGTTATCGTAATGAAACAAAATTAGTTTCAGTTGATTTTCTTGAGCGTGTTAATAATACTACGATGGGACAAGTTCTTACAACAATCCTTACACATTTTAATATATCCTTCAATTTACCTCGTCTATTTCTATCTGACTCCGCCGCGTATATGAAGAAATGTTATCGTGACGTTCTGTCTCCACTAATGCCTCAGCTAATTCATGCACCGTGTTGCACGCATATTTTAAATCTTATCGGGTATGTTTTTTTTAATTATTTTTAAATTTATTATCAAGATATAGAAAGGGTAGAATTTGATTTTAATTGCTGAAAACTAATCAAATATAATAATCTGTTTAACATGTGATATTATATTTAAAAAAAAGTTGAAGTGCGTTCTGTAAGATAAGATTTAAAAATAAAGTATTTTGTAATATATAGTTTTTAAAAAGGAGGGATGTGATTACAAATTCAAGTGTATTTATAATAGATAGCGGGAGAAAAACAATCTTATATACTATAATAATTAGAAAAGAAAAAATTGATTAGTGAGAAGTGTAAATAATGTAAATAAAATTTAACTTAAAAATTTAAACATTTAAATTTTAAATTATAATAAATTCAATATTTCATAAAAAAAATATTTATAGGGATACATGGAGAACGTTACCTCAATTTCGTATTTTAAAAGACTTTTTGGATAAAGTCAAAGAGGTTTTTGTCAATTCTCCTTCCCGGAGAGGTCGATATCTAACCTATTTGAAAATGCATGGAATTTCCTCACCATGCAAAATTCCTTTGTACAACAAAACATGCTGGAATTCTTGGTTCCGGATGATAATTTACGCAAAGAATCATATTATCTATTGGCTTAATTTTTTTAAAGAAGAATTCAATGATGACAAAAAACACAATACGTTAGCAGCCATTAATTCTTGCTTACAAAATGAACAAGAATTAGGGATCATTACTATTTACCTTAATTTTATTTCATCTTACGCTAACGAATTTATTCAAGATCTTGATTTTTTTCAACAATTAAAAAAACCAGTTTTCCCACTTGTTGAGTTACGACTTCAACATCTTACTGCTTATATTGAATCCTATAGGAATTCAACCGATTTTGGACCATCTTTGGAAAATTTAATTACTCAGTACCGGTTTGATATAAATGAATTTTATGCTATTTTCCGAATGGCATTTGAAGTGGCTTATAACAAATTTATTGCACATATTCCTAATCATCCATCTCGGCCACTTTTTAATGCATGTCAAGTTTTCAATCCTAAATATATCTATGCTGGAGATCTTTTACGAAAGAATATTAGACAATATAGTGTAATTAAAGAATTTACCAATCCATCAGATGATTTATTACAGGAATGGGGAATTTATTGTGGCTTAGAGAATGAATTTTTAGGCGAAATTGAATTGGATCAATACTGGTTAAATAAGATGACCCAATTGCCGATCCTTTCTAATATTGCTTTGGATTACATTTGGTTGCCAATATCAAGTTGTTCTGTTGAACGAAGCTTTTCAATGTACAATTCCCTTTTAGATAATGATCGACAAAATCTTTCTAAAGATTCTCTTAAAAGATTAAGTATGATGTATTTTAATGGTCGTAGGATTTAAAATCAACTTTTAATAAAGGAGTAAATAAAATTTTGACGGGTTTTTTACTATAATAAACTGTGCATAATTTTACATAATTTCAGATTTTGGCGCATAATTTGCACATAATTGTAAAAATCATATGTACTTAAAAATGCATATTTTGCTTTTATTGCATACATAATTGATAATTTATTGCATCATAAAATCATCGTCCCTGTGCTGAGTTTACTTGATCAAAGATCGATCGTCAGTTGATCGTCGGACAAAATTTTTAAACTATCCTTTTTTGATTAAAAGATGGTAGATCAATAGTGTCATCATGGTACTTCTAAGTACTATCCTAATATAGTAAATTCCGGCCCAGTCTATATATTATACCGGTTTCAACAATTTTTTTTTTGTTTACTAAAATTATTAATTTTTTTTTTCAATTAAAATTAATTATGTTAATTATCAATTTGGTAAATGAATGTGCAAAAACTGCAGAAGAAGCTATTAATAATAAGTCAGAAGATTTAAAATCCATCAGTTTAAAGGTACATTACGTACATTTATTTTATCATAATATTATTTTATTTTATCTCGTATCAAGGTTTAAAAAAAAATTATTTATACGTATATATTTAAATTAGATTCACGAAAAACCGGAATTAGGTTACAAATACAAATAAATCTTTGGTATATTCTATCATGTAAAAAATTTTTCATAATTATGTAATCTTTTTTTTTATTATTTAGCTTTTAAAGAAAAATTTGCTCATGATTTATTGGTTAAATATCTCAAAGACGAAGGTAAAAATTTAAATAATATTTATTACATTTTTTTTTTTCAACCAATCTAATAATATAATATTAATCGTTCCTAATTAAGGATTTGAAGTAACATGTAATGCATACGGTATTGAAACAGCGTTTGTAGCAGAGTTTTCATCCAAAGGTGGTGGAGGAAAGGTTGTTTCATTTAATTCTGAGTAAGTGAAATATTAATAATTAAGTTATTTTTTGGTTCAACTTTATCAGATAAGTCATTAATTTCTTATTGTAATAGGTATGATGCTCTTCCAGGAATTGGTCACGCTTGCGGTCACAGTAAGTTATATTTTCTCAATCATGTGTATAATCAACCATCTCATATATCTTATTAAATCATCCTTATTAAATAATGTATTTAGATCTGATTGCGATTAGTGGAGTTGCTGCTGCAATTGCGATAAAGGCCGTATTTGAAAAGCATAAAATTCCTGGAAAAGTGAAATTATTTGGTACCCCTGCTGAAGGTAATATACAAAATATTTATTAGTTAATTTATTATTTTCATTATTAGTATTAATACCTTCTCATTTTAGAGGGTGGAGGTGGCAAAATTTTTATGATCAAAGCAGGTGCTTATGATGATGTAGACGTTTCTTTAATGGTTCATCCTAGGTAAAGTTATTAACTAATAAATTTTTTTTTTATACGCACAATATTAATTTATATGTATTTTTATTTTATAAAGTCCTTTTGATGGAAGTTTTTACTCCTATTTTGCCGTAGAATCTTTTGATGTTGAATATTTTGGAAGAAACGCGCATGCTTCTGGTATTCCATGGGAAGGAATTAACGCATTAGATGCTATGGCTTCAGCATATAGTAGTATTGGATTATTAAGACAACAAATCAAGCCTACAGATAGGTAAAATATTTTTCGTTATAAATTTTTTTTTTAAAAAAAAAAGTGATGATTTTTTTTTAATTCTTAATCAAACTTTTTAGAATTCATGGAATTATAACTAATGGTGGAGAAGCGCCAAATGGTATTTAAATATTATGTTTATGATTATATAAATTATGTTGACTTATCAATTGATTAATTTTTTATTTTTATATTTATAATTAGTTATTCCTGATTATACGTCCGCGGATTTTATTATTCGTTCAAAAACGATTGAAGAACTAAATGATCTGAAAACACGTGTTTATAATTGTTTTGAAGCAGCTGGTAAGGCAACTGGATGTACAGAAGCAAATGGGACTAAGGATCCTAAAATCACTCCGAAGACCAAATATTTTGGTTAGTTAATTTATTGATAAATTAATTTATATTTATATAAATATGAATCAATATTTAAATAATTTAAATAATTTTTTTTATTTCTTCCTATCTTAAGATGTGAATTCAAATATTCCATTGGGTGAAAGATATGAGAAACATCTTAGAAAATTTGGAATAGATTTTAAGCCAAGAATAGAACAAGTTAATACAGTATTAGGATCAACTGATCAAGGAAACGTAACTTATATAATTCCTGGTATTCACGCTTTATATGATATAAAACCTCCTATAGGAAGTGGAAATCATACGATTGGTTTCACGGATATTTGTAAAACTGATCTTGCACATGATGCTACATTTATTGCTTCAAAAGGAATTGCATTAACTGCTTTGGATTTTTTGATTGATGATGAATTTGTTAAACAAGTTAAAGATGCTTTTAATGGCGGTCCTAGTTGGAAAGATTCGATGTAATATTTTATATTTTTGTATCATATTTATTCATTTATATTCATTATGTATTATTTATTATTATTATCGATTAAATAAAAATTTAACCATTGATGTATATTATATCTAATAATATTGGGTGATGTATTATTGAAATCATCATCATCATCTTGATGTAAATGATAATGTTTAGTATATACGAATGTTTTGATTCCTAATTTGTAATTTAACATCTTATGTAAAATTAAAGAGCAATATAAAGGTGATGTTGATGATGGACATCATATACTCCTATTGAATAAACATATGAGATACCTCCGTAAAGGGAGTATCAAACATGAAGAGAGTATTAAAGTTAAAAACTCATCATTCAAGTTACTTACCTGCATACGTCATCAAATCAAGTAAACGAATTATATTTTTTACTAAAAAATAATTTCATTAATCGTTGAACGTTGATTTATGATTTTAACGTATTATTATTATTATTTCCGTTAATTCTTTTCCAAAACACTAATATTACACTTATTAATTATTATCCTATTTACAGCCGTTTGGTGATGTCGCAAAGACGTAAACCACTAGTATATAATTCCAATCGTCATCCATTTTTCTGATCCGACTTAGATATGTCATACCTCTTTTACGGTGATTTCTGGACTTTATAGGAAAGATTTTATAAGGGTCTTTTCTGCTTTTTTTTACATTGCAGTCTTAATGGAAGTTTAATTATATTTAGAAACGTTTTGACATTTCTTTCCCTTTTTTTTCAAAAATAAAATTTCCCATTGTTAAATACGGTAGGATGTGAATCGAAACGTTGGTTAAATTATCAATATTCAAGAAATTTAAAACATACTATACATAAATCATTAAGGATAAGATTCCTGATTTGCCTGAATCTTTTACTTAACACACATGACTGATCATCGTTGTAGTCCAAATTCACCATATATTCATCATATACTCGTTAAGGCATTCAATCTCGAATTCTTGGACATAATCGATAACATTCATTAAACAGATTTGATTACAGTATTCAGCAACATTTATAATTACGTAATAATCACAATTTTTTATATATCAACATTGTTACATCGTTAAAATCAAAGAAAGTTATAAAAGTTCCTGTAATAGTAGAGTTTTAACTCGTCATAATTTCTATATCCAAATTAAAAAGTTACTTGACTTCAAAATGAGTATCACCCATTTGTATTACTTTAGGCGTACCTAACAATTCATGTCATCCTGTATAATTTCTAATTACGTATGAGAATACTCGTCTTTCTTTTTTTAAGAAAAGAAAAAACGTCATAAGATTGATATCAAATTAGTTGAAAAGCTAACGTGACGACTCAATACACGTTAATAATATACTGTTTATATGTTTATAAAAAGAGACGTTAGTGATGACGACTTAACAGGAATTCAAAATAACTGATTATCGTATTCGTGAGACGTTTAAACAGTATATAAAAATCACATTATTTCGAAATTTTAAAATCATTATTTCATTAATTTTATAATTTAAAAAAAAAAGCGAAAAAAAGTTCTACTTTTATGTAAATTTTGATTTGGGCGCTTTTACATCTTAAAACCTTTACAACATCGTTAGTTTTTTTTCGTTTTAATTATTAATATGATAAAATTCATCAGTCAAGTCGGAATTATTACTTTATTGTAAACACGCGAATTATTTCTATAAAAATTAGCAATTACTGACTGTAGACTGTAATATTTAGTATTTATTTGTGGATGCAATATCTTACTAATTAAAAAAAAGGATATTTACTTAATAAAATGCGTTGACGGGTCGGATGCTCAACTTTTATTTATTTATTTAACTTTTTTTAAAAAAAGAATTAACTCAAACTAACTTTGAAAAAATTCCGACGGATATTTTCTATTTTGAGATGATTTACTGGATAATATTAATATCATTTACGTGAATTAAGGTTATGCTAAAACATGTGTACTAGAGTCATTATTTGTAATTATTTACATGGTTTGCTTATAGTTAAAAAATAATGAACTTCAGTTAATATTATCTAGAAGTGGCAACTCCTGCTTAATGTCTCTCTTATGTTATCCTATTTTAGTTATAGATCGAGTTTATGCAACAGAATATATACCTACAGTACATGATGGATTGAATATTACATATTTTGTATAAAAATTCATTCATATTAAAACAGTTCCGTTTATTAAAATTTATCATAATTACAAAAAATAATACTACGCATTACATTTGCATTGGAAAATTACGCCAAGTCGTTTATTTACACACTTGGCTATTTTTCGGCATAATTTCGTTACACTTATAGAACAATCAAATTTCTCTTGGCCGTGAAAAAAAAAAAAAAATATTTTATTTAAAAATTTTATTTTGTAAATAATAACGCAAAAAAAAAAAATAATAATAATAATGATTTCTTTCAAAACGTAAATTTTACGGTTTAACAAAAAATGAGTCATTTTACCAATTTTGATTATAATAATAATTAATTAATTAATTAATTATCATAACGGAATAAACGGAATTAATTTTACCTGTTTAACGTAAAAATACGTAAAAAAATCGAAAAAAATTCGGAATTTCACCTCCGAACAAGTGAAAAATATTTCACAAAAGGTTAAATAATTCTTACCATTTAAGTATTTTTAAAATTGTTTATTTATCATTCAATTAAAAATACACGAACAAAATTAAAATTACCATATTAAGTTAGATCATCGGATAAATTTCGGCGAAATTTTTCTATTGATCTTTTACATTTTTAATCGAATAAAAAGATTTTTTTTTCTCCAAATTTATCAAGCCTCTTGGCATTTTTTTTTTCTATATATATAAAGATTGAGTACCTATCATCTTTCCAATTGTAATTAAATATTACAATATATATATATATATATATAACGAAATGCAAAAAGGAGAAGTTCCAACTGTGATTATTATCGGTGCGGGTCTTGGTGGTCTTACCCTTTACCATTCTTTGATAAAGAATAAAGATAAAAAAGAATTTAATGTCAAAATCTTTGAACGAGAGTCCACTCCTCAAGGTATATACTGTAAATATTGACCTTAAAAATATGTCACGTGATCTGACTACAATTTATTTCTCGTATATAAAGATCGATGGCAAGGATTTCATATAGGAATATCCGGTTATGGAATTAAATCTCTTATGAGATGTATTCCACCTTCAGTTGTTTCAAACCTTCCTAAAGCAATGCCAGATCCAGTTCCTGGAGAATATCATAGTATTTCAATAACTGATCATACAGGAAAAGTCTTAATGAAACCTTTAATTAAACAAGTTAAAGATTTTTATGAAATCACGAATACTCATAACGGATTTATTCTTACTTATCGTGATATACTTAGAAATGTTTTATGTGAAGGTGTACCAATTCAATGGGGTAAAAAATGTACTGGATATGAAGAAACTGAAGAAGGTGTTTGGGTAAATTTTGAGGATGGATCACGAGAATTTTGTGATATTTTAGTTGGTGCAGATGGAGTTCATTCTCCAGGTAAAATTAAATTTCTTTACCTATAATTCAATACAATACGTATAATTAATTTATTTATGTTCCCCCCAGTTCGTAAACAAAAAGTACCTGAATTAGAAATTTTCGATTATGGAGTAACTTTTATTAATGCGGATGTGGCAGCTCCTAAACATATTATGGATAAATTATTAAAAATCCATGATAATTGTTTATGTCAAAAAACTCTTGGATTAAATGGTGATACAACGTTTGTTGCTTTACGTTTAATTCCACTCGAAAATTTTAAGGATAAAAGTGAATTTCATTATAGAACAACAATTGCTTTAACTTATCTTACTAAATTTGATGAAGGTCCTGATAGAATTAAAGTTGATGATAATGATCCCGCATCAGCTGTTGAACATGCTAAATTCATGATACAAAAATTAAGACCAAAATGTGAATATACTGATATTATGTTAGAATTATGGGATTTGGTTCCTAAATCAGCTTCAACTGAACAAGAAAATTATCCTTTTAAAACTTATAATACTATACAAAGAAGAAAAATGCAAGATATTAATCCTTTATCAGTTAATTCATGGAAAACTAGTAGAGTAACATTAATAGGTGATGCCGCTCATGCTATGTGCCCTGTATTGGGATTAGGTGCAAATAATGCTATTCAAGATGCTGATAGACTTTCTCAAGCGTTACTTAATTATTATTCACCAGAAAATTATATTTCTTGTATTAAAACGTATGAAAGTGAAATGTTAAAACAAAGATCTGCAGATGTATTAAAATCTAGATCTGCCGCGTTAAGACAATCTTCGCCAGTTGGAGGTTATTTTGATATTTTAATTAGGAATACAATTATGAAAATCATTAATTTCACGATTAATATTTATTATTATGTGAATTCTTTTATTTTTAGGAATTAAAAAATTATTAGTTTTTTAATGTTTATTTTTTGAGAAAGTTATTATTTTATATTTTAAAATTTTTTTATTTATTTTTTTATTTTTTTTTATTATTGATTTTTTGATACAAAATAAATAAATATTTTCACTCGAAAATAAAATAAATTTTTTTACTCGAAAACAAATAAATTTTTTACTCGAAAACAAATAAATTTTTTACTCGAAAATAAATTAAGAAATCTATACAATGAAAAAAAATTTTTACTAGTATAAATAAAATTGTTCAATAATTTTAATATTCATAATCTTCATAATCGTCATAATCGTCATATTTACCATCAAATTCATCATCATCATCATCATAATCAATATCATAATCTCTTGGTGAATAAGCAACTTTACTAGATTGATTCCTTTTACGTTTTTCAATTTTGGTACTTTTAGGTTGTTTACCACGTTTTGTACCCGGTTTACGATTAACTTTTAACTTTGAACTACCAGGAGTTAACTTTGGTCTAGGCATCTTTGTAGTAGCTACATTCTTTGTACGAGATTTAGGTAAAGGAACAAATACAACATCATCTTTACAAATCGTACTTGGTGACATAACATAGTAACCAGTGGGTGATAAATAAAACAAAGGAGAAAAATATCGTTGGTTTAACGCAATTGAAGAAGTATGATAATCGTAAATGTAAATGGCGGATTTTGGACGTCGCTTAGATTCTATAGATTGACATACTACGAGAATACAATGAGGAAGATAAGGCATAACTTGTGTTATTGTTGAGTCGGTATAAGGAAGTTTGTCACAAAGAATTCTATGTGGAAGACGTTTATATGTCATATTATCAATAAAAGTATCTTGTAATTCATTTGGATTATAACCATCTATACAAGTATATCCATACGACTTTGTTTGTTTTCGATTATTATTTGTTGTATCTGATAATAAAACCTGTAATACGACTGGAACTTTCATATCACCGACCAATCTTTTCGCAGATAAAAATAACCAATCACCATCTTTAGGAAAATTATCTTTAGTCCAAAATGAAGTGTCAATCATTTTACAAGATGTTAATCCCGTATTTATTTTCCATACTAATTTGAGATTATTTTGTGTTTTATCCAAAGAAGAATCCATTTGTTGTTCAACTGGATGATAAATTAAAATAGTTCCTCCTAAACATGTAACGATTATTTCCGGTAAAATATTATCATCCTCTTGTATATATTCATAAGAACCATTTTTTGAATTTCTCCACCTGACGGTGATACTATGTGCTTTTGTTGGTAATATCTCTGTATATTCAATAAAATAATCTTGATAATTGGAATCTTCCTTAAAAGAAGTAACATTTCTAATTTTTCTAAGATCCCAACATTTAATTACATTCTCATTGTTTTGATTAATATAATTAATAACCATAAAATCATTTTGATCTAAATAAAAGATCATTGTAACTTTAGTATCAAATTCATGTGAACCTAAAATCATTATATCTCTTAATGCTATTTTAAGTTTTTCATCATTAGCTAAATCAATTCGTTGTTTTGAGTGATTTTCTACAATTAATTTCGTGGTAATTTGAATTTTTCCAGATTTTGTTAATACTACGAAAAGATTATTTGATAAAGCCATATCGTATATAGGTGGATTATTAACATTAAAATGACATAATGGTTGTAATTTATCAAAAGAAAATATTTTACAAGTACCCAATGATACATATGATGAATACATATAATATTCTTTTCCAAATTTCATACGTACAATATCATTCCAATTATGAATATCTCTAATAATATCATTATAAGATGTTGTTATTGCTTGTTCATCAAATAATAAAACTTTATGATTATCATCTTGATTAAATTTAATTATTTTTAAATATATTTCAATTCTTAAATTTGGTACTAAAGTAAAATCCATATTTGATATTGTTGGTCTTTCTTTTAATGGTTCAATATTAGAGAACCAATTTCCATTACGTCGAATTAATGGTTGTCTTGATGCAAATGCTATCGCTATACCATTTTTAATCATGTTTACACTAATTATATCATATATATATGAATTTAATGATGTCATTTCTTCAAATAATTTATATTTAATATTTGGTGGAGTTTTTATAATTGTTTGTACATTTTTCCATGATTCTTTTTCATAATATTCTTTATATAATAAAATGGTTTTATATGTTTGACCATAAAGAAATAACGGATTCGAGATTTTTTCATGTCTTACTTCAAACATTTTTTGCCACGTGTGATCATCTATGAAATGCATAAAAAAGGAGTTAAACTAAATTTAGAAATACCGTTGATATACACAAAAAAATTTTTAATTTTTTTCTTTTATTTACCTTGTAAAATATCATTCCATAATCTACACACAAGTCTCATTTTAAAAATATTTTTTACAGATACTGAACAAAATATATTAATTATTAATTCTTGTGTACCTAATACTTTATGACTTATATCATCAGTTATTTGAAGATCTTTCATTAATTTCTCCATGATTGTTCGTTTTTTTTTTTTTTTATTTTTGATAACACAAAAAAAATACAAACAATACAAACAATACAAAAACGAGTATATCAAAAAAAAATAAGGTTAGCCGCTGCATTCGCTGATTTGTTGATCATCCGGTCGCGGAAAAATCGTGAAATTTGAAATTTTACGGAGTTCTACGTCCGAACCGGATCAGATCATTAGGACATATTAGGAATGCGACTTCTTAATTCTTTATACTAACAAACTTGATACGTAAGAAGAGATAAATTGTATTCTGATGACTTTGTTTTTTTTTTTATTATTAAATGTTCTTTATTGGATCTTTGTAAAAAAAAAAAAAAATATTTTATTAAAATTTCGACATCCTCTACACATGATTGGATGAAAAATTTAGTAGAATGATTTTCGTATTTCTTTTTTTTGCAAAAAAAAAGTAAATACCACAAAAATAAAGCAAATTATTTCTGAATAGATGTTTCTAAAATTGGTCAAGTAAGGCATATCGGCCGATTGAGGAAGTCCCTAAAATTTTGGGGATATTTTTGCGATCAGTAAGAGGGACCTTCATATCAATTGTCAGCCAATAAATTAAACTAACGCCACTTAAAGATACTTCTGGTGACCGCTTTACATTTATTATATATATACTCGCATCAATACTCTAGAAACTCATCTGTTATAAACAATAAATATTTTGACGGATCATAGTACTTGGGACGAAGAGGGACAATGGGTTAGATGTGATTTACATAATAATATACATAATAAAAAGAGGGTTAGACGCGATTCTACATAAGTAAAAAGGGGCTTAAACGCATAAAAAAGGAAATTTTTTTGAGTTTTAGAGAATCAGATTACGTAATATTAATAGTTTAGGGAAACAATTAAGTAAGGCCCAATTTCCCCAATCAGCCGATATGGAATAAATCAATTTCATTATCGTTAGTGGAATAAAATCTTTAATTAAGACTTTGCAATAAAATTTCTAAATGCACTTTTAGGAAGTAACTGTAATAAAATTTCTAAATACACTTTTAGAAAGTAATCACTTATATCATAGACAAACAGCATCTACAGGCAAAACAAATGTTTTGTCTCTTTAGGTTCTTTTTTTTGAATCGTTGTAACCTGTTGAATTCTGAAATCTATATGGAAATAATATTTTATATGATTAAAACTTCCGTACCATATTATATAATTGTTACCACCATATTATAGGTAAATTGACGACAAATCCACTTTAAATATAATTGTTTGGAATATTGTGAAAAAATATCTTATTCATTTTGACTTTTTATAGTGGTTAACATTTTACGTATTCTTTCTATTTGTAAACAGTACCAAGTGTCTAAATACACCAACCCATCCAAACAATCGTAGGAAGATAATTGAAACTCATTAGATTCATCGTAACGAGACGTATCGAATGGCGGTATTTTCATATCTTTGACTTTAATAGATGAAAAGTCATCGGTATTTTTTGGCTTAGAAACTTTTGACGGTAATTCATCACCTATTGATCACAGAAATACAAAAATATCGTGTCTCATTACGATAATTCCAATGACTCTATAATCACTGGATGGCGAGAAAATGCGGTTTAGCGCTTTTGAAAAAGTGCCGTCCAAATACTTGATGTAGGTGACGTATTAGAGAAATGATATTCTGTCCCCATGGAGAGATGCCTTTGTACTTATTGTGTTGCAAAATAATGACCTATTGATATTTTACAAAAATAACTAATAAAAATTTATGATCTTGAAAAATGATGTCATATTTCATGTGACTCTGAACTCAGTCTGAAGATTAATATGTGAATACTGAATTTTGGAGTATTTTTAAATAATTTTACAATTACTTATTGGTTTCATTAAATATATAGTCGGCTCTCGATATGACGAACCCTCTGGTTTTCATCTCAAGTTCGCTACAAGATTATAGCGAAGAATTTAAAGAGCTGATTCATTATAACAAGGGATGCTTGACGTATTTGATTGGTTAAATGTCACGTGTTAGGAAATTTGCAAGTTCGTTAAATCGAGAGTTTACTGTATTTAGTTTTTGACTCGCTAATACTGAACTAATTTATCAAATAATACTTCCAAATTTAGCTATCAAACAAAAGTTAAAATACGTTAATGTAATGAAAAAGATTAATATAATATTGTATTTATAATTAATGTTAGATAAAAAAAAAACCATATGTTTCGTTGTAAATGTTTTATAAAAAAAATGACTTTTATAATTAATTATATTTTTAAGGGATAGTCCGTTAGTCAACGGGTGTGCACGATTGGCAAAAATGGAATGCCGTGTTCTTCCAAAATAAAGTCCATGGGTAAAAAACTAATACTTTACAACTTTGGGAATATAGAAATGTAGGTTTTTGCATATCATTTTGTGCAATTTTCGGGATAAAATAAAAAATAAAATTTGTGCGACAGAGATCGTCAAATTTGCTGCATTTTGAAATTTTATATAAAAACTGCGCATCAAATTTGTGAACTTTTTATTATGACAGATTATACATATTTTCCATTTAAACTATAATTTTAAATTAAAATAAATTTATAATTATAAAACACAATGAATAATTCTAATTTTTTAATAACCAAAAACTTACTGATTTTGGCATTTTGCTAAATAAAAATTTAAAAATAACAAAAAATCTAGTTTAATAATCAACTTTTAACATTAACAAAAGTTGTTTATTTTGTCAAATTGCACCTATGAACAAAGTTTTAAAGGTGATTCTTCGCTTAGTTATCTATCTCATTTTTTACCATGGAAATAGTTTACGCAAACTATATATAAAAGTCACGTGATTTACTGCAATGCAATAATTTTGATGATCTCTGTCGCACAAATTTTATTTTTTATTTTATTTGAAAATAACTCGAAATGATAGGCAAAATCTTCATTTTTATATTTCCAAAGTTGCCAAAGTATTAGTTTTTTATTCATGGACTTTACTTTGGAAGAACATGGCATTCCATTTTTGCTGATCATTTTCTCTCGTTAAGTGATGAATTGTCACTTAAAATATAAAAACAATATAAAAAAAAAATTCATAATTTGTAAATTAATAATGCTACATTTATATCTAATTTATATTAGTAGTAATTGTAGTATTGGTTCATTTATTTAGATCAAATTTATTACAAATATCTAGTTGCTAAATGACACAATTATCAAAGGGCTGTTAACCAGTCGCTTCAAGATACGTAATCATACCAAAGCTTTAGATTCCTCCTGATTGTTACCGATTGACTAGGTGAAAAATTATTTGGCACACTTACACCGGTCACTTTGTTAGTGTACCATGGACAATAATTGCTCTACCAGAGATTATAATCAAGATGAAAGTATTCACTTGGTCCCATCTATCACATGGTTTCTCTTTGATAGTGAAATGTTACAGTACATCGCGGGAACAGCTGACGGTAAATTATTATTTCACTTACTTGAAACCTAATTGAACAAACGTTAAAAATACCAGAATTTGCACGCCACATTTTTTATCCAATTATTTTTTTTTGATTTTTTCATTTCCTTTGTAACTTTTAGTGATTGTAATCTTGAACATTGTAATACATTCTTGCTGTTATTAGGTAAATCTGGTTCAGAAATCTGAAAATTAGCATTTTTGTATACCCAAACTACTATATATATGACTTTCATTAATAAAAGCGTTCAATAAAGAAAATATACATATGAAGAAGGTAATGGCTTAAAATTCGGTTACCCTGAATGTATCCGGGATGATGAGGAAGGTAAAAAGTATATAACATGAGTGTTTAATAATACAAATTAGATTTGTTTTAAAATTTATCAAACTAATCTGCAATATAATAAACTAGTTTCACGCAGTACCAAGGAATTTAAAGATAAATATATACTTATTATTGAAATTTTATTTATAGAAAACTTATATAGTATTAATTTAACTATATCTTTGTTTAAATATTTTAGCTCGTAAGTTAATAATCTATTAATTTGAATTAATTGTTGAATCACTTATTTTGTTATAATACTTATTAAATAATAATTTAATTATTAATAAACTATACATGGCTTTGAGTTTGCGTATTTTGAACTAAAAAATTCATGAAAATCTTCCCTTTTTTAGATAATTTTTGATAACACCAGTCAGAATTTTATTTCCTATTATAGTAACCTACTGACATTATCATAATTCAGGCCATGAAAAAATGCGTACAGCCCATAGTAAAAAATTTTTTTTATTACCTGACCATATGTATATATTTCTGGGTCCTAATAAATTTTTAAATAAAAATAATGAAATGAAGAATTCTACTTATAACAATATATTATTACAATACTAAACTATTTTGGTTAAAAAATAGGATTTGCATCAAATCTGACACTATCTTCTCAGATGAGAAGATTTAAGAAGAAAGTATTTTTTTTTTTGAGATGTCTGGTAAAGACCTAAAACATTAATTTGTGAATGTTAACAATATTGTTGTGAACAGAAAATGCAGAGCGGAAAAAACAGTATAACACTATGTATATCCAAAGAGCATATTCAAAAATGATATTCATAAATTTTGGATTGCATTGCTATACATTATATTGCACAATTAAGGATGGTGGAAAAATTTTTGGTTGACCAACTTGAGTTGTTTCATTCCAATGATTCCATTCGGTTCGGTGCATCAGTTCCAAATCAGTTTGTTAAATTTTGATATGTGCTGACTTGGATCTGAACCGACAGGGCGGACATCTTCATTTTATCACTTCAATAATTCAATTGCGGTTAGTCATTCTCAATTCTCAATTTTATCACAAATGCTATTATATGTATTTTTTACTTCAATAAAAACTTTCGTATATATTAAAATATTATCAAATTTTATTGAAAACTCGTTTTATGTTAAATTTTATTACATAGGTTTTTATCCAAATCAAATCATTATTTGCCAGCTTTCATTAGTAACAACCCTTTAATTTAAATGGCACAGGGACCAAACTAAGACTGACCAAAAGACCATCAGTCCGTCTTACAATTTTTTTTTTATTACTCTAGTAAATGTTTCTTGTATTAAACAAAGAAAAGTCTGTCCCACTCTTACTACTTCCTAAAAAAAGTGATTAAAAAATCAAAAAAAAAAGAGTTTAGATTAGTGTAACTGACCTATTAATAATATTGTACAATACAATATATCTAGAAATCTTTTTAGAAGCTACAAAATAAATTTCTATTAGATAATATTGTTTCAGTTGGTTTATTTTTTATTGACTAATGTAGGAAATACATACTTGTAGTTTATATTGATATTATAATTACTGTATTGTCAAAACTTTATATGATAAAATACAAATATAAAATATTAAATGTTATTGCTTCTATCTCATAGTACGTAGATTTTATTTTTAAACTCAATATTGCATTGTATTAAAAGACTTAAATTCCAAAATTTCTTTTTACTTTTTTATGTTTTATTTGCCTTTAAGTAATGATTAAGATTCTGTTTACAGAAAAAAAAAATAATATCTTACTTAAGCATCATTTATAATTTTCATATGTCATTCCTATTAAATACTTTTATAAATATAAGAAATGAAGAGATTTATTTTGCTAATGAATAAAAAAGCAATATAAATGTACTAATTCATACATATAATTTATAAAGATTATTTCATTTAGTGTCAACATTGCATAATTCTTACTATTAAATCAAAGAAATATTATACTCAATATACCAATTACAAACTAAATTTATTTTTGTAAAAAACTTACATATCTTTAGTGTTGGATAAACTATAAATTAAGCTATAAAATTTATATCAAGCAAATAATTTCATATTTTTTTTTAAATAAAATTTTTTATATGTTTCATTTGGATTTAAATTACTTGATCCAAACATTGAGAATTATCATCATATTCTGGAAGATCTTCTGTAAAAGGATTAAGTAATCGAGATGTGTAAATAGCTTGTGGATGGGTAGTTATTTGGTGATTTTTAATGAATGGAAGATTTGCCTTTCTATATTCTTCTGCTTTTTTAAATTGCAATCCAATTTCTTCATTTTCTACTGTAAAAAAATTCCTATCATATAACTTATAAAATGATGCAATTAATTCATTTACTTCAAAAATATTTGGCCTATTATTTGGGTTTAAATCCCAACACTTTTTCATTAATTCAATGTAACATCTTGGTGCTTCTGGTTCATTTATTTCAGGTCTAACTCCTTTACAAATATCTAATGCTAAATTATAATCATGTGCATAATCATCAAAAGGTTGTCTTCCACTTGCTATAAAATACATTATCATACCCAAACTATAGATATCTGATTCTTTGGTATAAGGCTTTCTTCTTAATACTTCAGGAGCCACATAAGGCATAACTCCATAGATTTTAGTTTCATCTATATTACCAACCTCTCCACATAATCCCATATCTGAAATTGATATACAATTACCAAATTCATTTATATCACTCAAAAATAATATATTTCCTGTATGAAAATCACGATGAACTATATTATTTTGATGAATTTCTTTAAGGCCATTAATAATATTTTTCAATGCAGATAATTTATCTTTCCAATTAAAATATTTATAGTTTTCATTTATCCAATGATTAAAATTGCCTTCTTTTGCATATTGTAAAACCATAATATATTCATTTGTATTTAGATTTTGAGATATTCCATATATATTAAGAATGTTACTTCTTATATTTATTGAGTATTTTTTAACCTATTAAAATATATAATAAAAATAGTTATTTCATTATTATGTTTATAAAGAATTTTTCTTATAAATATTTTAAAAGAAATTTTTACCTCATTTAAAAATTTATTGCTAATATTTTGCGAATTATGCAAACATTTCAAGGCAATTACTCTATTTGGATTCCTTTTATATGCTTTATTAGCTGCATTATATTCTAATGGACCATTTTTCCAATTTGCAGAATGTACCATAGCAAAACCGCCTTTACCTATTTCCTTAATATTAACAAACTGGTTATATGGTATCCATTCAAACATTATATCACTATGATGATTTATTTTTAATTGCATTTCTTGGATAAAAACATCAATATTTTCATTTCCACTTGTCCAGTTAAAAACTAAAATATAATCTCCTGTATCTGGATTTAAAGATATTCCATACAATATTTGAAATGCTTTATGTTTTGTTAAATATTTTTTAGCCTAGTAATTATAAATAAAAGAGATTGTAAATATACTAATTAAAAAAAAATAAGTATTAAAATATTTAAAGAAATTTCATTACCTCATTTATTAAAGAATCAATAGATTCATGTGAATACTGTATACATTTTAAAGCAACTTCTTTATTTGAATCTCTTGTATACTGACTATAATGATAATGCAATGGACCATCTTTCCATATTGCTGAATATACTGTTATAAGGTCATTTTTACCTGTCATTTTAATTTCATTAAACTGATTGTATGGTATCTGTTCAAATACTATATCATTATAGTCATTAATTTTCATTTCTTGAATGAAATCATCAATTTTTTCATTTTCTCTGAACCAATTCTCCAAGTACATACAATAATTTTGAACCAAAATATAATCTCTTGTATCTAGATTTTGAGATATTCCATACAATACTTGAAATGCTTTATATTTTGCTGAATATTTTTTAGCCTAATAATAATTAACAAAAATTGTAAATATATTCAATTAAAAAAAGTGCTTAAAAATTAAAAGAAATTTCGTTGCATACTTCATTTATTAAATAATCAATGGAATCTTGTAAATTGTATAAATATTTTAAAGAAACTTTTTTATTTGGATCTCTTGTATATTCTTCATTCTGATTATTCCAATAAAATGGACCATCCTTCCATATTGCTGAATATATTGTTACAGAGCCATTTTTAACTATCTCTTTAATTTCATTAAACTGACTGTATGGTATCCATTCAAGCACTATATCATCATTGTTATTAATTTTTAATTGCCTTTTTTGAATAAAATCATCAATTTTATCATTTCCACTTGCCCAGATAAGAACTAAAATATAATGTCTTGTATCTGGATTTTGAGAAATCCCATATAATGCTTGAAATGCTTCTCGTTTTGTTGAATATGTTTTAGCCTAATTTTAAATAAAAGAAATTATAAACATATTAATTAAAAAAGTATTTAAATATTTAAAGAAATTTCATACCTTATTTATTAAAGAATCAGTAGATTCTTGTAAATTATGTAAACATTTTAAAGAAACCTTTTTATTTGAATCTCTAGTATAGTAATTACTCTTTTTATTCTTTTTGCATAATGGACCATCCTTCCATATTGCTGAATATACTGTTATAAGTCCATTTTTGCCTGTTTCTTTAATTTCATTAAGCTGATTGTATGGTATCCATTCAAGCACTATATCATCATAGTTTTCAATTTTTAATTGCTTTTCTTGAATAAAATCATCAATTTTTTCATTTCCACTTGTCCAGTTAAGAACTAAAATATAATCTCCTGTATTAGGACTTTGAGATATTCCATATAATATTTGAAATGGTTTATACTTTGCTAAATATTTTCTAGCCTAATTATAAATAAAAGAGGTTGTAAATATACAAATTAAGAAAGTATTTAAAATATTTAAAGAAATTTATACCTCATATATTAAAGAATCAATGGATTCTTGTAAATTATGTAAATATTTTAAAGCAACTTTTTTATTTGAATCTCTTGTATAGTTTTCATCCTTCCAATACCACTTTAATGGACCATCCTTCCATATTGCTGAATATACAGTTATAAGTCCATTTTTACCTGTTTCTTTAAGTTCATTAAACTGATTGTATGGTATCCATTCAAGCCATTCAAGTACTATATTATCAAAATGATTAATAATCCTTAATTGCCTTCCTAGAATAAAATCATCAATTTTTTCATTTCCACTTGTCCAGCTAAAAACTAAAATATAATCTTCTGTATTTGGATTTTGAGATATTCCATATACTACTTGAAATTCTTTATATATTGTTGAATATTTTTTAACCTAATTATTATAGGTAAAAGAGATTGTAAATATACTAATTAAAAAAAAGTATTTAAATATTTAAAGAAATTTCATACTTCATTTATTAAAGAATCAATGGATCCTTGTGAATTATATGAACATTTTAAAGCAATTTTTTTATTTGGATTTCTTGTATATTTACCATACTGATAACACAATGGACCATCTTTCCATATTGCTGAATATACTGTTGTAAGTTCATTTTTTCCTATCCTTTCAATTTCATTAAACTGAATGTATGGTATCCATTCAAGCACTTTATTATCAAAATTATTAATATTTAATTGTCTTTCTAGAATGAAATCATCAATTTTTTCATTTCCACTTGTCCAGTTAAGAACTAAAATATAATCTCCTGTGTCTGGATTTTGAGATATTCCATATACTACTTGAAATGCTTTATATTTTATTGGATATTTTTTAGCCTAAAAATTGTAAATATACTGATTAAAAAAAGAATATTCAAATATTTAAAGAAATTTCATACCTCATTTATTAAGGAATCAATGGATTCTTGTGAATTATGTAAACATTTTAAAGCAACTTCTTTATTTGAATCCCTTGTATAATTACTCCAACTATACTTCTTGTATAATAGACCATCTTTCCATATTGCTGAATATACTGTTGTAAGTTCATTTTTTCCTATCCTTTCAATTTCATTAAACTGATTGTATGGTATCCATTCAAGCACTATATCATCAAAATAATTAATATTTAATTGCCTTTCTAGAATGAAATCATCAATTTTTTCGTTTCCACTTGTCCAGTTAAAAACTAAAATATAATCTTCTGTATCAGGATTTTGTGATATCCCAAACAATATTTGAGATGCTTCATATTTTTTTGGATATTTTTTAGCCTAAGTATAAATAAAGAGATTGTAAATATATTAACAAATGAAAAATATTTAAAGAAATTTCATACCTCATTTATTAAAGAATTAATAGATTCTTGTGAATTATGTAAACATTTTAATGCAACTTTTTTATTTGAACCTTTATAATTTAAATGCTTCCCATGATATAATAATGGACGATTATCCTTCCATATTGCTGAATACACAGTTATAAGTCCATTTTTACCTGTCTCTTTAATTTCATTTAGCTGATTGTATGCTATCCATTCAAATATTATATCATTATAGTTTCTAAATCCTAATTTCTTTTTTTGGAGAAAATCATCAATATTTTTGTTTCCACTTGTCCACTCAAAAACTAAAATATAATCTCCTGTATCTGGATTTTGAGATATTCCATACAATACTTGAAATGCTTTATGTTTTGATAAATATTTTTTAGCCTAATTATTATAAATAAAAAGATTGTAAATATACTAATTAAAAAAAAGTAGATATTTGAAGAAATTTATACCTCATTTATTAAAGAATCAATGGATTCTTGTGAATTATGTAAATATTTTAAAGTAACTTCTTTATTTAAATCTCTATAATTTATATGCTTCCCATAATATAATAATGGACCATCTTTCCATATTGCTGAATATACAGTTATAAGTCCATTTTTGCTTGTCTCTTTAATTTTATTAAGTTGATTGTATGGTATCCATTCAAGCACTATATCATCATAGTTTTTAACTTTTAATTGCTTTTTTAGAATAAAATCATCAATTTTTTCATTTCCACTTGTCCATATACAATTATTTTGAATAAAAATATAATCTCCTGTATCTGGGTTTTGTGATATTCCATACAATACTTGAAAAGAATTACATTTTGTTGGATATTTTTTAGCCTAATTATAAATAAAGAGATTGTAAATATATTAACAAATAAAAATATTTGAAGAAATTTCATACCTCATTTATTAAAGAATCAATAGATCCTTGTGAATTATGTAAACATTTTAAGGAAACTTTCTTATTTGAACTTCTATAATTTACATGTCCGTAATGACATAGTGATGGACCATCCTTCCATATTGCTGAATATACTGTTATGAGCCCATTTTTTCCTGTCTCCCTAATTTCATTAAACTGATTGTATGGTATCCACTCAAGCACTACATCATCATAGTTATTAATTTTTAATTGCCTTTTTAGAATGAAATCATCAATTTTTTCATTTCCACTTGTCCAGATAAGAACTAAAATATAATCTCCTGTATCTGGAATTTGAGATATTCCATACAATGCATGAAATTCATTATATTCTATTGGATATTTGTTAGCCTAATTATAAATAAAAGAGATTATATATTAATTAAAAAAAGATAAGTATTCAAATATTTAAAGAAATTTCATACCTCATCTATTAGGGAATCAATGGATTCTTGTGAATTATGCAAACATTTTAAAGAAACTTCTTTATTTGAATCTCTTGTATAATTACTCAAGCTATTCTCCTTGTATAATGGACCATCCTTCCATATTGCTGAATATACTGTCATAAATTCATTTTTTCCTGTCTCTTTAATTTCATTAAACTGATCGTATGGTATCCATTCAAGCACTATATCATCATAATTATCAATTTTTAATTGCCTTTCTTGAATAAAACTAACAATTTTTTTATTTCCACTGGTCCAATTTGTAGAATTGGTTGTTAAATATTTAAAAATATTATTTATTTTCAAAAGTATAATGAAAATGGCGACAATAGTCAAAATAGTGAAACATATCTTCAAATAGAAGAATGTGATAAAATTATTTTGAGAAAACATTGTTTTCAAAAGCTCAAAAAATCTTTCAAATAATCTTATTTATAATAAATCATGTAACGTACAAGTAACGTTTCACAAAAGAATTATTTAAATCACTTATATAAGCATTACATAATATTACATAATGGATCATCTATGTTGATTACGTCACAAATTTTTTATAGTGTTATACAAATTCTTTTTTAAAATTTAGATAATGAATACACGTCATGCATCATGTATAATATGTGTTTATGAGTTAAAAAAACCCTCTAATTTAAATTACATTGAAATATTGAATAGAAAAGTCACTACATTAGAATCACATTAAACCCACACTAACTAGAGAATCTCCGACCTCTTTGACTTTAGACAATACGTTAAATTTACATGAAAATATTCAATTCATATTGGTTTTTTTTATCAATACGGTAATTAATATTTATATTTTAGCTGTAGAAAGTAGAAACTAAATAAAGTAGGAATTATTTTCATAGTTGTCAATATGCAGCCAATATATATAAAGTTTGCTTATTTTGTTATTTTATAATATTATGTAGTTAATTTTACGAAATTTATCTAATTAACTTATATTTTTTAGGTTATTGAAATTTAGTGTAAGAGACTAAAAAAAAAAAAATATAATTAACATTTAATCTAAAAAAATATTTTCTAATCCTTTATCAATTTGGTTTATTATATACTGTACATGTATGTACAGTACATAACTAATTAAAAATTTTTTTTTAAAAAATGATGAGCGTGAATTTAATATTATACGTGAAAAAAATTGATTGGTCGAATGTCTTATGATCGCTGATCATTTTTAGATTATTATTTTGACATTTCGACATTTCTGATTGGCCGAATTACTAAAATTGTAAATTAAAAAATTTTACTTTGTAAAATTCTTATCAATACAACAACTATTAACGTAAGAGAATTCAAGTGCCTTCCGGCTGTTCTCCTTTACGGCGGGTTATAGCTTTCCTAGTTGTAACCATATTAGTAAAAAGAATTTAGGATTTACAATCGTTATGTTTCACAATTTGGTTTAGCGCAGAAGTTACGTTCGTGTGTAAAATTTTTTATTTATTTTATTTATAATAAAAACACTACTACGTTTGTGATCAAGGTAGAAGAAGAAAAATAGAAAAAGGTTTCTTTGATTTTGACTTCTAATACCCTTTTTAAGAAAATTTTATAGCGTAAAAGAATATAATATTAGAAATGAAAGAGAAATAAAATTTATTAATATATATTTTTCCTTGGCAAATTTGATTAAAAATTAAAAAAAATTAGAATAAAAATATGGGATATGAGATAAAAATATGAACGAAACAAAATTAAAAAAAAATGATAAAAAAAAAAATCAATTTCAAAATCCATTATATTCGTGACAAAGCATTGAAATGTAAAATTTATAAAATAACAAGTTTTATGAAGTTAATAAAAGTGTACTTTTAAGATTAAATTAGGCATTAAAATTTCATAAACTAGTATATATAATTGAGTTTTTCTTTCAAAGAAAAAATCACTTTTTCGCATTTCTATTAACTTTTCTCATTCGCTATCAAAAAGGATACTATTTTCAGAAGGATAACCCATAGAATAATTGTTAAGAAGATGTAAAGTTGTTTATTTTCTATTATATAAGAAATTTGTCTTAGAATTGTTTCATACGACATAATTTTATTCTTTAATACTGATTTATTGAAATTTTACCAAATTTATGACGATAATAATACTACAAATATATTGCAATATAGTATTGGATACCTTTTAGAACAAGTTTTCAACTAAAAAAGTTATCTCACTTATCCATGATGGTAAATTTTATTAAATTATTTTGTGTTAATTATATATTTAATACTGTTTAAAATAAAACTTTTGTTTCTTATATGATATAAATTTCTTCTATTTTATTTTTGAAAATTGATAACTAAATAAAAAAATTATATTAAAAATAAACAAGTATCTTAAAGGCTTTAGATTGGTAAAATATAAAATTTTTTAATATTGCGTAATAACATATTCAAATATAACATTTTAAATTAGAAATATTAAAGCTAAATTTTTTAAAAAGATTTTTGTCAAAATTAGTTTTGAAGCTTCAAAAACATTAATTTGCTATAATTCTAAAGTTAACAGAAATAGCTTTAACAATTTTTAAATAATAAAATATAGAAATACTATTTTTTTTTAGAATTTTAGAAGTTACAAAGTAATATTCACAAGAAAAATTTAATTTTGCACTTAAATAAATTAAATAACTTCCTTATAATAACAACATTTATTTGTTCTGCGAAGATTATAATTTATTATACTTTTGTAGCAACAAGATGAATTATGTGTACAATAAAATAGAAGCGGAAACAATCGATAATATAATAATACTGTATGCATTTTTGTAAAGAGAAATAGTAAAGTAATAAAAATATATTTAAATGAATACAAAAATAAATTGTTCGTGACATGAAATTATGAGTTACAAAATTATAAACTAATGAATAATAATTCTGGATTTTCACCAAGTGTTGACGTTTTCGTCATTGAAGTTGTGTCACTAAATTTACTACTTCTTCATCCCGTGAAAGATTTTTTTCTAGATCATTATCTTTAGATGATTTTAGAGGACCATCAATTTTATCTTCTTCATATTCTTCTTTTCCATAATCATTTCTGCGAAGGCGTTCCCATTACAACATTTGCCCACTCAAAGAACGAAAATCTTTTTAATTGACACAATTGTTATTTTGTTGTTTTAATTTGACCGTGAGTTGAACGGGTTTGAGGTTTTGAGCATGAATATTCAGGGAGATTATTACCATTGGAGGACACATATACTTTTGAGTGACTTCGTAAATTCTCACCACTACTTGATCCCTTTTTTTATCTTTTCCCTCAATGACTTGCACAATCTTAGCATCAGCAGTAATTACATAAGCTAATGCAATAGATATGTTTTTATAGTAATTGATGTTATTTTGAGCAAAATGTGTAAAATATCCAAAATAGATAAAAAATGAAAGAAAAAAGATACGAATAATCGCAAGAAATTCTAGTACAAAACAGCTGTGAATAATGATCGTTTGCTTTTAATATTTGTTGATATTTGAAAAACATTCTTATTAGCTTTGACTAATTTTGAACTAAGCGGTAGGTTAGATAAGGAATTCCACGAGAATTCCAAGGTAAAGGAGTAGTAGCATCATCATCACAAATGACTACATCAACAACAGATTATTAATTAGTAAATTAATTATTTTTTTATAAAAGTGAATTATTAACAAAAAAAATTAAAAATTATTGCACGTGCAAATAATATAAATCTATATCTGACCTATAATTATGTACATGTATATTATGTATTTGCACTAAACGCCATAACAAAACGCTGATAGTGCTAATCTAAATATAATATTTCCGACATTGTAACTTTCTGAAGAGCAATACATTGAGTGTACGTTAGCTATTTTGGTGTCATATAAAGATCGAAATTTGCTCCTGTACGCACAATTTGAGCAAAATTGAAAATAATTTTAAGTATACTCGAAGTATTTATTTGTATTACGAGCTTTGTACAGTATCATCAAAATGAACATATTGCGAAAAGATTTCTAATATACTTTACTAAAAATGGCCAATTTTTTGAAATATTTTTATAGACCTAGATACAATGGCTTTCAAAACAATTGTGCAATTATTTTGTAAAATTTTTAAAATATATCAAGATATATTTAAGGTATTTTTGAGATTAAAATATTAAAATAATATCAAAGTTAATTATATTATAATAATAAAATAATAACAAAAATATTAAAAAATTATTGTGATATTATTTTGAGTTATTTTTATAGACCTAGATACAATATAATTACAAAATAATAGCAAAAATATAATAAAAACATTTTGATGTATTAAATGTATTTTTGTAGTATTTTAAAATTATTACAAAATCATTTCAAAAAATTGGCCATTTTTAGTAAAGTAATACACCTGCCCAAATTACCATATACACTTAAGTCTGAACATTTTGTATAAAGTTATCTTAAATTTTTTTTTAAAAAAAAAACTTTATGGTGTGGGTTAAAAAAAACATAAAAAAGTCTCTAAATTCTTATCGTTATACTTATAATATAAAAAAAAATGAGCAAAAAAAGTCGACAAGAAATTTTAAATATTATACATTTTTAATTTAAATCTTTTAACAGAACATACTAACAAAGTCAACAACTGTAAAATATTATATATTGTTAATTGTACTGTAAAACGTTATAAATATAATAAACACTTAGGTGTTGTTCTTCGAAGTCTTTGGTAAACTCGGGAATGAGGTTGCTAATTTGTTTTCCATTGCATTCCATTTTCTTTGTACGTAGTTTTATCTACAGACAAAAATTTACGAGAGTTATTTTTTATTTATTTTTCTTTGTAACGTGATTTTTTTTACTTTAAAAAGGTTGTCAGAATGGTTAAAACTTGCGGTAAACAAGTATATAGAATCTCTAAGCCATAAAATATCTTTATTGATAAAAATATAAAAAAAAATACGTTATTATACTACACAGATTTAAATAGTGTATCATGATTTAATATCATTATTATTTTTTTCGCAATGTGATGTAACGAATACACAGATATTATTACCTATTTAACAATGATGATTGGTTACTTTTTTGGTTACTTTTTCTCCGACTTAGCAAAATATCAATCTCATCTTGTAAACTTTTATAACTAAACGTTCGGCTACTGTAAACAGCTTCCGAATGAATAGGTTTATTCGGTTTCCAATTCATTAAGGTATAAATGTAACCGGCATTTTGTGAATTGGCAAGTTGATTTGTAATTGTTCCATCAAAACAACCGAAATTATGAAAACCATTCTTTTCAAAACGATCATTCTTATCATATAACCTTATATTATTACTTATGGTTTTATAATTGCACCTGAATAAATTAGATCCGATAATATTGTTACTAATTACGACATCAGTTTGCCTTCTATGATAACACCAAAACTCAATAGAATTTAATACATCCTTTATGCATGGGCGTTTCGAAATTAATTTTTGATAAACACGAATATAAACTTCCAAATATTTAAAATTCTGACATCTTGAAAATTATAAATTAAAAAAAAAAAAAAATTGTAAATGTTTAAACAAATTGAACTTAAATTACTTTAATTGAATTGTGTAATGTGAAACGTGTGATATACTATTGAAGTCATGTGTACACGTTCCAATTCCGGTTAATGAAATTTTTTATCATTTTTCGGCTCCTTTTTAGAACGATGCAATCAGTCATCGGCCGCAGCAGAATGTTGATTTTGTTTTATTTTATTCCATTCATGAAATTACCTGCAACATTGTAAATTTCTTGATTTAATCTGATTTTTTCATTTAAATAAAATTTTTTGGCTTTTTTTAAAACCAAAAAATTTTTTACTTTTAAATTTTTTTCCGATTATTAATTTTTTCCCTTTATAATTTACTACATTTTTTTTATCCATCCCAGGGTAATACAGCTACTTGACTGATCATCATGGTTTTTGATCGTATCCTGACTGTTATTTAGCGTAGAATATTAAATTTTTGTTCTGCTATTATGGTTCGTCACCAATATAAAGGCTAACCGACTTTGCATCTTGTGTTGAGATCACTGTATTATTGCTAGTATCATCATTAATATCCTGTACGATACAACATTTTAAGATATGATTACTAGACATTTATTAATAATGTGAACAAGATGAACCCTTTTCTTTTTAACAAATTACCAGAGGAATTTACTGTATTCACGTAAAAATGGGCAAGAATTTTTATATTAAGACTTTAAGAGTCAATTTAAATAAGAGGATAACGTTTATAACGTATTTTATGGAAAATTGCAAAATGATTCAAAATTAGGTTAAAAAAACATGTTTGTGGTACTTCTGTTTGTGAAATGGGTGGAAATTTATTCCACGCGTGAGATGTAAAAAATGCTTTTTTTTATCATCGCCGGGGATAATACTTATCCATCAAGTAAGAAAGTAATAATGACACACTTATATTTTAATTGTCATGCAGTGTGAATAGGTCTAGTTTTTTACTATTATTATGATGGCATTCCCGCATTAGTAGGAAATAAATGTAATAAATTGCACAATTTATATGATTATACAAATAACAATGAATTGTGTGCAAGCGTTATACAGTATATGAAATATTATTATTAAATACAAATTTTATTTATCACACGAAACAAATGTTGCAGTACTGTGAAATTTACAAATTCATTACAAAAAATATTTTGTATAAATTACAAAAAAAAAATTTTTTTTTTATCATAAAAGTTACATTGTAGCATTAAAAAAAATTACATCTACTGTTGAAAAAAAATACATATATATTGTTACCATATCTCATTATAGCAATCTATAGTTATAGAAAAAAAATATCTCACTAGTAACTCTTTTACATAAAGTTACTAAAGTGACGCGCAAAATCGCGCAAATTGCACGTGACTATTTGTTGCGCAGAAAAGGTGGTATTTTACTATAAATATATGTAAGAAAAATCTGGTGTAAGCTACTTTATCAAAAAAGATAATGAAAAAAAAAATTCCCAGAAAAATTAATTATAACGATCTATATTAATAATAAGAATCAGGAAAAAACTGTGGCGCTACAACATCGATCTGATCACTGATCCAAACCTAAATGGTAAAGAATGTATTCGGGAAAAAAAATTCAGCTTGAAAAAAAAATAGCCAAACCAAAAAAGGAAAAGGGGAAAATGAAAAAAAATGAAAAAA